TCACACGCATCCTGATTATCAAGGTTTCATAATGGAAAGAAGGGTGCCTCAAGTAAATCACCTCAGTTTTGCTGATGACATTATTCTTTTCACTTCGGGAAGATCCAAAACCTTAAAACTCCTCATGAACACCCTAAAGGAGTATGAAAAGACTTCGGGGAAGCTTATCAATGGTGATAAAAGTCATTTTATGCTCCACCCTAGTGCTTTCAATAATACTAGGGACAGAATCAGGAGGCTGACAGGTTTTAAAGAAAAGCATGGCCCTGTCACCTATCTTGGATGCCCTTTGTTTGTTGGCAGACCTAGAAATGTTTATTTCTCCGATCTTATTAATAAAGTTGTCTCCAGAATTACAGGTTGGCAAACTAGGCAACTTAGCTATGGTGGAAAGGCTGTATTGGCTAAGCATGTTCTCCAAGCCTTGCCTATACACCTCTTGTCTGCTGTAACTCCTCCCAGTACAGTCATCCGACAGGTTCAAATGATTATTGCAAATTTCTTTTGGGGATGGCAGAATAATAGGAAAAAATATCATTGGTCATCGTTGAAAAATTTGAGCTATCCCTATGAGGAAGGTGGGATAGGGATGAGAAATTTACATGATGTTTGTAGAGCCTTCCAATTCAAAAAATGGTGGATTTTTAGAACCAAACAAACCCTGTGGGGAGATTTTTTGAAAGCAAAATATTGCCAAAGATCTAACCCGGTGAGCAAAAAATGGGATACGGGAGAGTCTTTAAATTGGAAACACATGCTCATTACTAGACAACACATGGAACAACATATTCATTGGAGACTTCAAGCCGGGGATTGTTTGTTTTGGTGGGATAACTGGTTGGGAATAGGGCCATTAGCACATCATACCAACATCCGCAGCAGATTCAACAACACCACAGTTGCTGATTTCTGGGAAGAAGGGGGCTGGAACTGGAACAAATTGGTAAAATATGCTCAAGCTAGTCAGCTAAGTAGCATCATGGCTACTGAAATCCCTCAACAACAGCACAAGCAAGACCAAGCCATCTGGAAGCTTAGCAGCCATGTCAATTTCAGTTGCTCCGCAGCTTGGGAGGAAATCAGAAACAAAAAGGCTAAGAGCAAGTTCAATTCTCTTTTATGGCATAATTTCATACCTTTTAAATCTTCGTTTCTTTTATGGAGAACATTAAAAGTTAAAATTCCTACAAATGATAAGCTATCTAATTTTGGCATTGAGCCATTACCATGTTTTTGTTGTCCTGGTAGAACAGGTTGGGATAGCATCGACCACACCTTCAATTCTGGATCGTTTGCAGCAAGGGTGTGGAAGGCATTTGCAGCAACTGCAGGGCTGCAAGCAGACCACTCATCACTGCAGGCAAGAGTGCGCCAGTGGTGGGCAATTAAGCCACGAAACGCAGGCCATCAACTGCTGCTGCAAGCCACGCCCATTTTTATTGCTTGGAATTTATGGAAGAACAGGTGCGCATGCAAATATGGGGGCAAAGCAACGAACATCAGCCGCGTCAAATATGCTATCAATAAAGACACTTTCAAGATGCTGAAAATTTCCTTCCCACATATCAATTGGCCGGGAACCTGGACAGCTCTAATCCAAAAAACGGAAAAGTGTAAACATGAAGTCAAAGTCAACATGATAACATGGAATAGGCCTCCGGAATAATGGATCAAAATAAGCACGGATGGAAGCGCTCTTGCAAATCCGGGACAGATTGGGGCTGGAGGAATCATCCGAAACATTGAAGGCAAAATGGTGTTGGTATTTGCAACACCTCTCGGAGAGGGTACCAATAATACAGCAGAAATTGAAGCAGCCCTCTTCGGATTGTCATGGGCAGTGGAACTAGGACACACAAATATATTATTAGAGTCTAGTAGTGGAGTGGATCGCCAAAAGAACACCCCCCCATTGGATTGTTACCAACCAAATTGAGAGAATCCAACATCTTATCACGCAAACTAAGAACTTCAGGTGTACTCATATTTTCAGAGAAGCAAATTGGGTTGCAGACTCATTGTCAAAACACAGCCACAGCATAGCATCCCCTCAAGTCTACTTCAGCAACAATCAATTACCTAGAGAAGCTCAAGCCTACTATCAAATGGACCTTCTGAACATGCCCAGCTTTAGAAGAAAGAAGACTAAGAAGATTTTTGAGCCTCCTTGATGTTTTGCTTTTCTATTCAACTTGGCTATGTATGAGTGATATAGCTACTTTGAATAGATTATATGTAGTAGGATAGATATAGACTTTTTCTTGTAAAGGGAGAGTCTCCCTAATTTATGTTTCCTAGATACTTTGTAACGAGAAGAGTCCTCTCCTTAGGTGCTTAGTATTTGGTTGCATCTTTCATTGTAAGGGGAGGAGTTGAATTTCAATAGGAAATTCGACTCCAAACCATCTTAGGTTTGGAGGTTAGGTTTATGCCCCCCTCCTTGTATTTTGTTTGTTTTATTAATGTTAAGGCCTGGGGGTGTCGCTCAGCCCCTACCCCTCCAAGGGTATTAAAAAAAATAAGGAGTTATGCCAGTTAACTCGATTGGGTTGACTGATGCGGAGGTGCAGGCATCTCTGGCATAGATGGCACAGGCCATCACTATGCAGGCCCAGGCATGAATGTCAGGTCAATCGACAGAATGTTGAGAGGGAGAACCCATCAGTGCGTAGCATGGCTGACATGTTGAGAGGTGCATAAGATTTTTGTGGCTATGTGGGACACAAATACTAAGAAAGCAGAGTTGGCTTCCTATCATCTCAAGGATGTTGCACAGACCTTGTGCATTATGTGGCAGGATAGCCGAGCTTTGAGCAGAGTTCTTGTCATGGGAGCTGTTTAAGACAACCTTCCTAGAGGGATTCTTTCACAGGGAAATAAGGGAGGTGAAGTATCTAGGTATACTTTTTTGCTAAGTATATAACAACAAGGATGAGATGAGTACTGAAGTTTGTTAAATTATCCAGGTATGCTACTTCCCTTGTATCTAATAGCAGGGCTGAGATGAGCAGGTTACTTACAAGAATCAACGGAGACTTTGAGGAGGAGTGTCGGTCTGCGATGCTCCATGATAAAATGGACCTCTCCAGGTTGATGGTGCATGTGCAGCAGGTAGAGGATAGCCGTAAAAAGAGGGGTGTTCGTGATGCTAGGAGGCCAAAGCCTCAAGATTAGGTAGGTCCCAGCCATGGAGGCCATAGAAACAATTTTGGCATCTATGAGAAGCCCAAGTTCAAGAAGGGGCAGCAGAGTTCTGGGAATTCTAATTGACAAAAGAGTACAACACCTAGAGGAGGCAAACCCGAGCCCAAGAAGGTAAATGGAGGTGAGATGCAGCATCCCAAAAACAACTGTGCTAAGTGTGGCCGTGCTCATAGTGGAGAGTGCAGACAGGGCACTAATGCGTGTTTCGGTTGCGATAAGAGTGGTCATATTGTTAGAGAATGCCCACTGGACAGAGGTCAGGCTGGAGGTAATGCTCAACCTAGGCCTAATCCACAGGTTGAAGCAGTAGTCGAGCCTCCTAAGAGGAACAAGTTCTATGCCCTAAAGGGCAGGGAGGAGCAAGAGAAGTCTGCTGATGTGGTCACACGTATGTTGCAAGTATTCTCAACTTCTGTTTATGCTTTGCTTGATCAACAGTCTACGCTTTCCTTTGTAACTCCTTCGCTTGCTCTCACTTTTGAAATATTTCATGAATTTTTGTATGATACTATAGTGGTTAGTACACCTTTTGGAGAAAATGTAAGAACTGATAGAGTATACAAGGATTGCCCAATAGTTATAAGTCTAAGTCTATATGTGCAGACTTGGTTGAGTTACCCATGCATGATTTTGATGTTATCCTTTGCATGGACTGGCTTCACAGTTGTTATGCTTGTTTGGATTGTCACAGCAGAGTGGTGAGATTTCCTTTCCCTAATGAAGAGCAACTACTTTGGGAGAGGTATAGCTCGAGTCGTCCTAATCCCTTGATTTCGAACCTTAAGGCCAATAAAATGATGTCCAAGGGATTATTATGTCATATTGTGAGTGTTAATGATTTAGATCATGACATTCCTACTATCAGACTGTTTGGGCAGCACTTTGACGTTGTTGAAATCTACAACAAGGTATGGGTTTTCTCTCTTGAAATTCTTTCTCCAAGAGAAATTTCTTTCTATAAAATTTAAACGCATGAAACTAGGGTTGTCCCCTTTATTGTTGAATTCGTTGTCCCTAGTGTTCTTCAGATTTCAATCTAAATTAGGTTAGAAATCATGTTGTTGGTATGGTTGCTGATAGATAAGTGTGAAATATGATGTTCTTTGTGATTTTGTGTTTGGAAATAGCAAGATTGTTCAATGATGTCAACCAAAAATGATGTGTTGCAATATGTAAAATGTTTGTTGTTGTTTTCCGTTTTGAAGTCTTAAAATGGCTAATTTGATGGCTGAAATTTAACGTGCATAAAATGTGTAATTTGTGATGTTCATATGAGGTGTATGTGACTGATTCTAAGTGGAAAGTTGTAGCTAAAACAACAATGAATCTACACCTAAGAATGTGCTAAACGAATACACGAAATACACCCCAAAAAGGTGTTAAATGATCCATGAATTTTCCTAATTTTTCAGCAAAAAAAAATGAAAAAAACTAAAAGTTAAGTTTACTCGAAGGAGTCTTTACCGGACTGAAAAAAAAGAAATCTTAGGTTTGAAGGGTCTAGGGGTAAAATGGTCTTTTCCTGGATAAGGATAGTATGTCAATTACCCTAGATAATGTAATTATTTAATTACTAAAGTGGAGGGGAAATTTGGGAAGAAAGGGCAAAAATTGAGCCCTTGAGATGAAGTCTTGCTCCATTGGGTTCGAACCTAGGTAGGAACAATGATTTAATGTGATTTTTTTAATTGTTGAATTTATTTAATAAATTAATAATTAATGGCTGATTTAAGAAAAAATGAAAAAATAGATTTATTTTAATTATTATTTATTTATTAAATGATGTTCTTTTTAAATTGACTAAGTCTTGCAAACTATCCTAGTTTTAAGAGACATTATCTCAAACAAACTCTCTCTCTCTCACGCCTGAATCTCTCTATCTCTCTCGTTCGTTCTTTTTTTCCTGCCTGCAAAAATAGAAGATAAAAACATTAGAAAGCAATAAAAAGTTATCTACTTACAAAAAAAATATACAAGCAAAGCAAGCTAACTTAAGAAATGAAAACTTTATATCATCTTCTCGATGGGATTGTGTGGAAGGTTTAGGGGAGGATTTGGGCAGCACTTTGACGTTGTTGAAATCTACAACAAGGTATGGGTTTTCTCTCTTGAAATTCTTTCTCCAAGAGAAATTTCTTTCTATAAAATTTAAACGCATGAAACTAGGGTTGTCCCCTTTATTGTTGAATTCGTTGTCCCTAGTGTTCTTCAGATTTCAATCTAAATTAGGTTAGAAATCATGTTGTTGGTATGGTTGCTGATAGATAATTGTGAAATATGATGTTCTTTGTGATTTTGTGTTTGGAAATAGCAAGATTGTTCAATGATGTCAACCAAAAATGATGTGTTGCAATATGTAAAATGTTTGTTGTTGTTTTCCGTTTTGAAGTCTTAAAATAGCTAATTTGATGGCTGAAATTTAACGTGCATAAAATGTGTAATTTGTGATGTTCATATGAGGTGTATGTGACTGATTCTAAGTGGAAATTTGTAGCTAAAACAACAATGAATCTACACCTAAGAATGTGCTAAACGAATACACGAAATACACCCCAAAAAGGTGTTAAATGATCCATGAATTTTCCTAATTTTTCAGCAAAAAAAAATGAAAAAAACTAAAAGTTATGTTTAGGCTAAAGTATAGATTAATCTGGAAATTTAATTGGTTTTAAAGGGATGAGGTTACCAGGATTCGAACCTGTGACATCACCTGTGTAACACCTTAAATTTGCAAGAAAGGAAAAGGGGGGATTCGAAATGGGGTATACTGGCTGAGAAAGGAGAATGAAAAATTTAAATAAATTAAATACAAGGTGTGGGAATCGAACCCAGGACCTCCAGGCAGCGAATGAAGTGAAAGAAAAATAAAATAAAGGAAATGTTAGGCATGAGAATTGAACCCATGACCTCAAGGCTGTAAAAGAGAAAGGGAGAAGAAATAAAAAGAAAATAAAGTGAGGTTGTGGGGGATAGATCCCGCAACCTCACTGCCAATGCATGGCCAAGTCAACTTTTAACTAAAAATAAAATAAGGAGGCTGTGGGGGGTTCGCACCCACAACCTCACAACGCCTAGAAAAATAAAGCATAATTAAAGAGAGGCTGTGGGGGTTCGATCCCACAACCTTATGGTCCATGCCAATTGGACAGGAAGAATTAAATGAAAAATATAAAAGGGGTTGTGGGGGTTCGATCCCACAACCCTTTGGCATAATAAGAGAAGAATTCAAGGAGAAAATAAAGAGAGAATATTGATGTTGGGGCTTGATCTAGAGTCCCAATGTCATGAAGACTAAAATAAAGTCAAGCAAAAATATAAATATTGTCCAAGGGGTTCTAACTTGGGTTCCATTGCCCAAATTTCTTTATTGATACATAAGTCGTACGTGAATTAAATGTTCAACAACAATCCCACCTACTTACATCGAAAATGAGATCTTGGTATACACACAAGATACATAAGTCTTGTACTACATAATCTTAGGAAGATATGACTCAATTAACGAACTATGAATGAAGCCTCATGGCTTGTATGTAGAGACCCATAAGTCTAGCATACGTTTAAAAATAAGTTAACCTAAGATGTATGTAATGAAATGAAGTAACCCTAAAAGGGTTAAGTACAAGTGTAAAACACACTTAATGTCCAAGTACATTGGCATATGATGAAATGAACAATGAAATGATGAAACCCTAGAAGGGTTAAGTAGGTAAAACACATTAAATGGACAAGTACATTGTCATATGTGAAATAAACATTCACGTAAAAAAAGGGGTGAGTAACGATGAAGAGAAAATGTGCTAATGTTAATGAATGTGGTGACAACATGATATGAGGCTAATGTAAAAGGTGAGAGCAATCCCAAATGAGCCTTAGTAAATGTTACAAAAATGTACTCACCTAAGAGAGTGTAAAGTTAATGAAAAGACCAGTCTTTATGAACACTCTAATGAAAGTATTGAGGTTGACACAGTTAATAATAATGATGAGATGAGAAATCATCTATTAAGCTACGATGTCCTTATACTAGAAGCCAACTTCCATGATGTATGAGTTGAATGTAATGGAATATTATACTAAGAACCGATAGACTAGCTATGAGCAGTGATGCCTTCTTTCGAAAGGGCGGAAGTTCACGTAACTCTCATGAGATGAGACTGTCCAGCATGCCGGGTATGGGTTTCCTTATATCTCTTAGTCTTCGAACCAATACTGCCAATATAGGGATCGAGCGGGGTTCAATTCCCATTAACGCTAGCATGTTTTAGGTCACTTTGGCCGGTGATTCCACCTCTTTTCGGTATGGGGGAGACACTGGATTTCATGATGCTCACATTTCTATGTTGGTTAAAGTTAAAGTTCCCAATGAATGTATGAGGCCAGCCTCAATGATGTACACAATGAAATGAATGATATCAAAGGTGTTAGGATAGGATAATCAATAGGTGAGCTAGACTAAAGTAATGATACTAAATTATTCTTGATCATTGCACAGCAACCCGATGAGAGTCTTAAACTACATCCTAGGAATAGTTGATGTTTATACTAGCTTATGAATGAATGAAATGAAGTACATATGAATGAATGAAGTAGACTCTGTGTTTTCTAATGAAGATTCCCTAGTTGAGGTCTCATATGTTGAGCCTTCATTTTGGAAAGTCTTATGGTCAAGTCCATGATTCCAACATGTTGTGGGACATGAATGTATGTTATAAAAGATGTTATGTGCTATATGCTATGTGATATGTATTATGTGTAAAGATTTATGTGTTGTCTGCAATATGATAAGTATGATGATGCATATTACTCTCATGGCATGACCTTCCTAATCAAGGTTTGGAAAGCTCACTAACTTTCCTAATCCAAATATTGAAAGTTCATTAACTTTCCTAATCCAAATTTGGCTAGTCCACTGATTTGACTTCCCATAATCATGTTGTTAGGAAAGAGCTATTATTGTGCATGCATGTCCGTGGTGTGTGCTTGCATATATATATTTAGTACAAATGTGTGCTAAACCTATACAATTCTACAATTCTAGGTGCAGGAACAGGTGGACGCTAGAGCTACAGGTTGACGCTGAAGCTATCCGGACGTCGAGCATTCATTCAGACTTGGTAGGCCTTCATGCTTTCGAGGATGCTTGCCAATTTATATTCTAGCTTAGTCTTAGGATTGAGTTAGTGGAGTATTTTCCACTATCATTTCTTTCCCGTATTATCTTAGACTTTGTATTGGTGCCATTTTGGCAAGTATTCATTTATTGTTATATCAAAGTATTTCATTCATTTAATGATATTAACATTAGATGGTTGATGGTGAAAAAATTATGATTATATTAGAAATGATTAGTAAGAATGTTAAGTAACAAAAATTTCAAATTTCCCCATTAAATTAACCTAGATGAAGTAACGATGATGTATGTAGGCTTGTCTGTGACCTTTGAGAGGTCAACAACGCTTGTCTCATCTTAGGTCTATATTCAGGTTGTGACAAAGTTTGTATCAGAGCACTAGGTTAAATTCCAAGAATAATAAGTTCACATCAACCATATTGAGTAGTTTCTAAGTCATGGTAGTGAAATGCACCACTATCCTGAATTAGAGACTTCATGGTGCGTAAGAAAATTCCCTTCTTCTGATCTTATCGTGGCTTTCCTAATGTTCAATTTCATGGTGATATGAGCATGTCTAACATCAATCCTTATTTTTTTCAGAGAATTAATACTAGGAGGAACGCTGGTCAGATGAGAAGAGGAGTAGCTTCTGGGAACAATCGGGTTCCACCCCAGGCTCCAACTGAATAAAGAGCTATGCCAGTTAACCCGGTTGGGTTGACTGATGCGGAGGTGCAGGCATCTCTTGCCCAGATGGCACAGGCCATCACTATGCAGGCCCAGGACATTACTGCCAGGTCAATCGACAGAATGTTGAGAGGGAGATCCCATCAGTGCGTAGCATGGCTGACATGTTGAGAGACTTCAGAGGACCCACAAGAGTTTGTGAATGAGGTGCATAAGATTTTTGTGGCTATGTGGGACACAAATACTAAGAAAGCAGAGTTGGCTTCCTATCATCTCAAGGATGTTGCATAGACCTTGTGCAATATGTGGCAGGATAGTTGAGCTTTGAGCGGAGTCCCGGTCATGGGAGCTGTTTAAGACATCCTTCCTAGAGAGATTCTTTCATAGGGAAATAAGGGAGGCGAACTATCCAGGTATACTTTTTTGCTAAGTATATAACAACAAGGTTGAGATGAGTACTGAAGTTTGTTAAATTATCCAGGTATGCTACTTCCCTTGTATCTAATAGTAGGGATGAGATGAGCAGGTTACTCACAAGAATCAACGGAGATCTAGAGGAGGAGTGTCGGTCTGCGATGCTCCATGATAACATGGACCTCTCCAGGTTGATGGTGCATGTGCAGCAGGTAGAGGATAGCCGCAAAAAGAGTGGTGTTCGTGATGTTGGGAGGCCAAAGCCTCAAGATGAGGCAGGTCCCAGCCATGGATGCCATAGAAACAATTTTGGCATCTGTGAGAAGCCCAAGTTCAAGAAGGGGCAACAGAGTTCTGGGATTCTAATTGACAAAAGAGTACAACACCTAGAGGAGGCAAACCGAGCCCAAGAAGGGAAATGGAGGTGAGATGCAGCATCCCAAAAACAACTGTGCTAAGTGTGGTCGTGCTCATAGTGGAGAGTGCAGACAGGGCACTAATGCGTGTTTCAATTGCGATAAGAGTGGTGATATTGTTAGAGACTGCCCACTGGACAGAGGTCAGGCTGGAGGTAATGCTCACCTAGGCCTAATCCACAGGTTGAAGCAGCAGTCGAGCCTCTTAAGAGGATCAAGTTTTATGCCCTAAAGGGCAGGGAGGAGCAAGAGAAATCTGTTGATGTGGTCACACGTATGCTGCAAGTATTCTCAACTTCTATTTATGATTTACTTGATCCAGGGTCTACGCTTTCCTTTGTAACTCCTTTGCTTGCTCTCACTTTTGAAATATTGCCTGTATTTCTGTATGATCCTACAGTGGTTAGTACACCTTTTGGAGAAAATGTAAGAACTGATAGAGTATACAAGGATTGCCAAATAGTTATAAGTCTATGTGTGCAGACTTGGTTGAGTTACCCATGCATGATTTTGATGTTATCCTTTGCATGGACTGGCTTCATAGTTGTTATGCTTGTTTGGATTCTCACAGCAGAGTGGTGAGATTTCCTTTCCCTAATGAAGAGGAACTACTTTGGGAGAGGTATAGCTCGAGTCGTACTAATCCCTTGATTTCAAACCTTAAGGCCAATAAAATGATGTCCAAGGGTATTATGTCATATTGTGAGTGTTAATGATTTAGATCATGACATTCCTACCATAGACTCAATGCCTATTGTGAATGAGTTCCTAGATGTATTTCCTGATGATTTGCCTAGAGTCCCTCCCCCTCGAGAGATTGACTTTGGTATCGACATAGAATTTGATACTAAACAAATTTTGATTCCTCCCTACAGATGGATCCAACTGAATTCAAAGAGTTGAAGCTGCAGTTAAAAGATCTCACTTATAAGGGTTTCATTCAGCCGAGCATATTCCCTTGGGGCGCTCCAGTGTTGTTTGTGAAAAAGAAGGATGGAACCCTTAGAATGTGTAACGATTATCGCTAGCTCAACAAAGTCATTATAAACAATAAGTATCCACTCCCCAGAATAGATGGTTTGTTCGATCATCTCCAAGGGTATAGTTTATTCTCTAAGATTAATCTTCCTTCATGGTATCATTATCTTAGGGTTAGGGATGAAGATATCCCAAACACAGCCTTTCATACCCGTTATGGTCATTATGAGTTCTTAGTTATGTCATTTGGTCTCACGAATGCACCTGCTGCATTTATGGATCTCATGAACAGGGTGTTCCGTGAATACCTTGACTCTTTCGTCATAGTATTTATTGATGACATTCTCATCTACTCTAGGACTAAGGAAGAGCATGAACAACATTTGAGACTAACCTTGAAGGTACTTAGACAATATCAGTTGTACGCCAAATTAAGCAAGTGTGAATTTTGGCTTAGATCAGTGACCTTCCTTGGTCATGTTGTATCCGATCAAGGTGTAGAGGTGGACCCCAGGAAGACTGAGGCTATTAAGAACTGGCCAAAACCTCTTACTCCCACAGATATTCGTAGCGTTTTGGGATTGGCTCGTTACTACCGCAGGTTCGTGGAAGACTTTTCTTCTATTGCTGCCCACTGACATCTCTAACAAAGAAGAAGGTCAAGTTTGAATGGACGGAGACTTGTGAGAAGAGTTTCCATGAGCTCATGGATAGACTTACTTCAGCCCCTGTTCTTACTTTGCCTAAGTGTGGTGAGAAATACACTATTTATTGTATGATGCATCTAGGGTTGGTTTGGGTTGTGTTCTTATGCAGGGTCGTAAGGTGATGTCCAGACAACTCAAGGTTCAGGAGAAGAATTATCCCACTTATGACCTAGAGTTAGCAGTTGTGGTGTTTTCATTGAAGCTGTGGAGGCACTACTTGTATGATGTGCCTGTAGATGTGTTCACGAACCACAAGAGTCTCCAGTACATGTTCACACAGAGGCAGTTGAATCTTCGTCAGTGGAAATTGTTGGAGCTGTTGAAGGATTATGACATGAATGTTCACTACCATCCAGGTAAGGCTAATATTGTAGCCTATGATTTGATCAGGATAAGGATGGGAAGTACAACCCACGTTGAGGATGAAAAGAAGGAGTTAGCGAAAGATGTACACAGACTGACCATACTAGGTGTGCGATTGGTCGACTCTACTAGTGGTGGTGTTTTAGTTCATCCTAGTTCTGAATCATCCTTCGTAGTTGAAGTCAAGCAGGGTCAGCATCTCGATCTTGTGTTGATGGAGCTGAAGGACTAAGTGTTGATAAAAATGAATCAGTCTTTCATTTTGGGAGGTGATGGCATACTTAGGTATCAAGACATGCTGTGTGTACCAGATGTGGATGATTTGCGGACTAGGATTGTTGCACAGGCCCATGGTTCCAGATATTCCATACATCCAGGCTCCACCAAGATATATCATGATCTTAAGAAGGTTTATTGGTGGGATGGCATGAAGAAGGACATTGCAGAATATGTGGCCAATTGTCCTAATTGTTAGCAGGTTAAGGCAGAACATCTTTAGTCAGGCGGTCTTACTCAGATTATTGAGGTTCCGACTTGGAAGTGGGAGGCCATTAATATGGACTTCATAGTTGGCCTTCTGATGAGTAGGAGACAACATGACTCCATATGGGTTATTGTAGATAGATTGACTAAGTCTGGCCACTTTATCCCTCTACATATATGAGATTGTGAGATGGCATGGGATTCCTCTGTCTATAATTTCATATAGAGGAGCTTAGTATACTTCACATTTTTGGAGATCTTTCCACAAAATCTTGGGCACACAGGTAAAGCTTAGAGTACCCTTTCATCCTCAGACTGATGGGAAGGCAGAGCGCAGCACTCAGACATTGGAGGACATGTTGAGAGCGTGTGTGATTGACTTCATAGGTAGCTGGGATGACCATTTTCCTTTGATAGAGTTCTCGTATAATAATAGCTATCACTCCAGCATTGGGATGACACCGCTTGAGGAACTGTATAGTAGGAGGTGTAGATCTCAGTTGGGTGGTTCGAGGGTGGAGAGTCATCCATTTCGGGTCAAGATATCATTCATGAGGCCTTAATGAAGGTCAGAGTGATTAGGGACAGGTTTACTACTGCTTACAGTCGGAAGAAGTCATATGCATATTACAAAAAATGGCCGTTAGAGTTTGATGTCAGCGACCATGTCTATCTGAAGATATGACGTATGTAGGGGGTGATAAGGTTTGGCAGAAATGGAAAGTTGAATCTGAGGTATGTTAGGCCTTACGAGATCCTACGACATGTTGGTGAGTTTTCCTATGAGTTGGCATTGCCTGTGGAGCTAGCTTCTGTCGATCCAGTCTTTCCTGTATTCATTTTAATGAAGTGCGGTGATCCAGCAACAATTCTCATTGTGGAAGGTTTGGGGGTCGATGAAGACTTTCCTATGAGAAGGTACCTATTGAGTTCTTAGACAGACAGGTCAAGCGGCTGAGGAACAAGGAGATTGCCACAGTGAAGGTATTGTGGAGAAATCATCTTGTTGAGTTTTCTAAGTGGGAGGCTAAGGCCGACGAGAGATCTCGTAACCCTCATCTTTTCAGCTCTTGAGGTTATACTTCCTATTCTTAATTCTAAGTTTCCTTATCTAATTTTGTTGCTACTGGTTGGCTGTACATAGTGATTTGTGATGAACTGACTGGGCAGGGGAAGATCTGTATTTATATAATTTTAAGTGTATAGGACGAAAATATATGTATTCATATTTCTTTATATAATTTTCTCTCTCTTTATACAAATACAAACACATTTTATACATTTTTATTTGTATAAAAAGCAAGAAAGTCGGGTGAGAGACTGATGAGAGTGGTGAGCAAGAAACCTAGGGAGAGAGGCGAAAATGATTACAGTGTGTTATGTGTTACAATCAAATCAAACTGTGGTTATAACATTTAATTTAAATTACTATTTTGTTATTATACATTATTTTTCTAAAAAAATAACATTTCTTTCTCTAAGAATTTAAAGATAGACTTTCTTTCCTGCTCTCTTATTCTTTGGGTCTTTTTTTTAATATTAAATTATTAATATTATATAAGAAAATTTTATTAAAGCTTGGAGATACACCTATTTGGGTTAAAAAGTTCTTGAGATAATGTTTTTGACATGACTCAAGCAATGAAAATTATCTACTACTCTTATGATCAATAATGTTCATAAGATATTGAGAAAAAGATATGAAGTATATTCCATCGTTGATCGAAATTGTTAATATGATACAAAGTTTGGAAATGACCTTTTATCCTCCCCTCCACTATTTCATAGTGTATTTTAAAGGTATATGTGTCCACGTTGACATAAAAAGTATTGCGTAATTATAAATTATAATGTGATCACAAGGACACATTTATACCTTTAAAATACACTATTAAATAGTTTAGGGGGGATAAAAAATACACTATTAAAGAATTTAGAGGGGTAAAAATATCTCCATAAAGTTTGGTATTGTAACAAAATTTCTATCAAATTGAAGTATTTTTCAAATATTTAGCAAAACAATAAAATAAAAAGTATAGGATTAAGCTCCGCTCTTTTTAATTGTCTTTCTCTCTCTTTCATTATTTCGTCAAGTATATCTGAGCCATAAATAAATATTACTCCGTCCGTCCGGTATTGTTTGTCACGGTTTCTATTTTTAGAGTTAAACTACAAAAACTTTGACTAACATTTTAAGATGTATTTTTTCATCATATTAATATGCAACAAATTGTACTTTATAATAATTTTCATATAGTTTTAGAATATCTAATTTTTTTTGTTTGAAATATCGAATTGATATGATGTAATTTACCTTTGAAATTAGTCATATTGTCTTTCGATAAGCGCAACGTGACAAATAATTCCGGACGGAGGGAGTAGTTATAAGGACTTGGATGTTTCATTAATAACCACTAATGTATTTTTGGAGGTTAGCTATAAAATGATATACCCTACACATATATCCCAGCCACACAGTGCAACAACAAATGTGTTGCATTCTCTGCCTTTGCTTTACACAGGGAGCATCAGTTGTAAAGTTTAAATCCTCTCTTTGTTATCATTTTTGCAAGTAATATTCATGCACAACTATCCAGATGAAACAAATTATGTTGGTTGGAGCTTTAATCTTTTAGTAGTAAATATTACTCTTGTAATTCCCATACATGATTCCATCTGATTCAATCCATTATGTCTCTGCAACCTTTTTTGTTATAGTTTGTCTAATAGTCATGCACTTGAGTTCCTGAATAACATAAGTTCGTCAGCAACACATTTTTAATACGTGATAAGGTATATCACTCTATTAAATGGATAAGGACTAAGCTAGTGTACCAGAAAAATAATTACAAGTTGTGCAAATCCAAGATCATGTTTGACATGACACATATATGTAGTATGTTATTTTTATGACTAATATATTGTTGGAGCCTAGATA